GCTCAAACCCACAAACTGTGAGATCATGACCTGAGCCAAAGTAGTATGCTTAACCGACTGAGCCACCCAGGCACCCCCTGAATATGGTTTTTAAAAAGAATATATAAAAAATATAGAGTATTGAAATGGTTAGGTTATATTGCCTGAATAAAGCAGAAGCGTCAGAGAGAAAGAAAACTAGAGAACTTGAAAACATTTTTGAAGTTTAAGTGTACATGGAAATGAGGAACAGAGAAGGAAGTCAGTAGTCTACAGGGAACTAAGATCACTTTATAAACATTATCTCATCTCTTAAATTATACCTTTTTGTAAAAAGTTATTTTCCAGACTTTCAAAAAACCAAATAAATTGAAGCCCAGATGATAATTTGTGGTTTCCTAAGTAACATAAAAAGAAAGTGGCAAAATGAGGAATAGAACCTTGTTTTCTTGATTTCCATGATTAGCATTAGATCACCCGAACCTTCATATGGGACTAGCACCAAAAAATAAAACAGGATTAAAAAAAAATTCTTTCATAAACTTGATGTGTAAAAGCATTTGTTTCTGAAGTAGGGTTATATTCCCCGCCGCTCCCTCCCCCCCCCATCCAGTCTTAGAAGAAGAAGGTGGGAGTGGTGATTGAATACTGCTTTGGATATTGTGCTACCCTTTGCTTTGTGACTCTCTCATTCTGGTTCGGGAACAGGAAGGACAATGAAAAAACTAACATTTGCACAGCACTTTACAGTTTTAACCAAACTTTATTTCACATATATTACTTTTCTCATTTTGCAGCAGATCTAAGATCTAGACAGTGGTGATGTTTTGTTATTTTAATTAGGCTTTCACTGCTTAAGAAAGAATAGGCTCAAGAAAGTTGGGGTATTTGCCTAAGATAACATAGCTGGCCTTCACAAAATCGAGCTCAGATTTTTTTTTTTTTCTTTCTACTCAAAACTAAAGTCTTATGAGGTAGATTTACTTAGTTTTGTGGAAGACCAATTCTGGGTGGAGTATCAATCAAGAAAACATTTGGAAGCCTAAGACTTCATGGCAGAGTGGGTCAACAAGTAGATGGTTTTGGGGGGCAGGTGAGGCTCTGACCCTCCTCTGAGTGCAGGCACAACTGATGTCCTTAATAATCCTCATGTGTTCCGCCAGCGCTTTTCAGAACAGCTTGTCACGTCCTCAGTTGCTGCATTAACTGGAACAGTGGCTAATTAAAGAGAGTGTATTTAACTTTAACACCCTGCCTGAAGACATGCACCAGATTAGTCATAGGAGAGCTATTTTTGTCATTAATCACACATAAATCAGTAAAATGTCTTTGTAGAAAATGTTGGTGAGGTTTGTTTCTCACACTAAATTTTGATAAACAAAGGGTGAGAAGAGCTGGAAAATAAAGTAAGTCTCAAGTTTGGTGTAGGCATAATGATCTTTATGTTTTTATATTTTAGAGATGCTGGGAGAGGATTTGGTGTTTAATGCATTCTGTGATTAAACTGAAGAAGGGTTTCGGTCCAGGGCCTCTTGTCTTTTTTTTTTTTTTTTTTTTTTTTTTTTTTTTTTTTTTTTTTTTAACTTTTTAAAAAATGTTTATTTATTTTTGACAGAAAGAGACAGAGCATGAGCGGGGAAGGGGCAGAGAGAGAGAGGGAGACAGAATCTGAAGCAGACTCCAGGCCGTCAGCACAGTGCCTGATGCGGGGCTCAAACTCATGGACAGCGAGATCATGACCTGAGCTGAAGTTGGACACTCAACTGACTAAGCCACCCGGGCACCCCCAGGGCCTCTGTCTTAATATTTGATATTTGGATTTACTTTGGGGCACTGGAAACCCACTGGGTGGTTTTAAGCAGAGGAGTAATGTCTGATCAGTGCTTTTAGAGTTACCTTGGCTGTTGAGTAGAGATACCTGGCAGAGGGAGGGGGCAATAATATGAAGAACATCAGTGTACTCTAATTAAACATCTGAACAGAGAGTTCGGTTTAAACAACAATTCCATTGCCTTAGAATGAAAAATACCTGTCATTTGAATTCCATATTTGGGTTGAATTTGATACTGGGTTCTTAGTTTACTCAGGATCCTCAGTACTTTTTGAAAGCTCCTGAGGTAATTATAATATGTGACCAGCACTGAGAACTACCCTTTATCTTGGCGAAAACAGGAGAGATCATGGGGCTAAGCATGGGAGAAGGAGGCAATGAGTGAAAAGCTATGGAGAGCTTGCAAAGTGTAACTGTCTGTTCTTGGAATTTCCTTTCCATATTCATATGTTCACTGAATGTTTTTGGTGGTATGAATTTAGTAACATGAAACTTTAGAGTTCGCACATACCCAGCCTCTCCTTGTTCTAATTCCTTCTTAACTGTTCCTTTCTATATGAAGAGAAGAAAAGGGAAGTATTGAGAAGGAATTACCAGGATATAATACAGTTTGATAAAAATTTGATAGTATTAACAGAAGAATCCATCTCTTAAAAACTCTTAAAAACATTTCTAATACTAGTTTCATTCAATCCGTTTAAAAAATGTGTGTGTTTATGTATCCACACGAACTGAGAAATTTGAGAAGCCAACCATATTAATGTCTAGCTACTTATCTGCATATGTGGAATTCTGGGTTAAGATTGATGATGTTTCCTAAAACTGGGCAGAACATGTAGCTTCTCATTCTCACTCTGGGATTTTTGTGTTTTATTGACATGAAACTATCTTTAATGAAGGAAATAAATTACTTGTAGTAAAATGAGGGACTTAGAATAGGGGTGAAAAGGAATAAAATGACCAAAAATGATTATAGAAGTACTATTTTGTTTTTATAGATTACAACCTATAATCCTGAATCTAATTTATTGTGAAACACTGGATTAGTTATAGCTAAAAATTATCTTTCTCCTTGGGAGTTGCAGTAGGAATGTAGGGAAGATTTGTAGGAGTTTGGGGTATCAAACATAGTAGTCACCACCATTATTGCACTGGGATTTAACGTAGCCAGTACAATTTAGGGCTGTTTATTTGTAGACATTAGGATCACCTCAATGTTATTTTATTCAGTAATACAGTATAGGCAACTCTGTTGAAAGTTGTGCCTTAAATATTGAGGTTCTTCTTTTCTTTTCTATTCACAGTGGTAGCCGCTCCTCTAAAACATTTAAACCAAAGAAGAACATTCCAGAGGGTTCTCACCAGTATGAGCTCTTAAAGCACGCAGAAGCCACACTTGGTAGTGGTAATCTCCGGATGGCGGTCATGCTTCCTGAGGGGGAAGATCTAAATGAATGGGTTGCAGTGAACAGTAAGTAGCCTGTTTCTCAGTAAGCTCTAAATTAGGTTAGTAGCCTCATTATAGGTTAGTGTTGGAATGCTGTCTGTTCTAGGTTCTAGTTAGCAACTTAATGTCACAGGATAGTGATACCTCAATCCACTTTAGCCTTTGTGTTATTTTATTTGTGAATATGGAGTTCTATGAAATTTTTGTCTCCTGTTATAATGTAATACAAAGCACAGATTTACCATCTTCAGTGGAAAAAAATAATAACAGCAATTAATGTTTATGGAACACTAATTCTATGTCTTACCCTCTGTTATCCTTTCTACATGGATTATTTTTATTTCATCTTTATAGCATCATGATGTAGGTACTATTATTTCAGTTTAATATAGATAAGGAAGGTAAGACAGAAAGATTAGTAATTTGCCTAAGTCGTATAGTTATCAAATGATAGAACCTGGGCTCAAATATAGAGCTTTAGAGTTTTAGAGACTACATTTTTTTTTTTTAAGTTTTTCTTTTAATTCTAGTTAGCATATAGTGTTACATTAGTTTCAGGTATACCATATGGTAATGCAACACTTCCATCCATCACCCGGTGCTCATCACAAGTAGAGACTCACTTTAATCACTATGCTAAATTGCCTCTCTCAGTAGTACACTCAGTTACTTATCTATGCCTTTTTTTTTAAAGGAAATTCAATAATGATCTTATGAAATTAGTAAAATATGTTTATCAGGTACTCTTTTTTTGGAGTAGACCTTTTAAAAAATTTTAAAACCAGTGTAGTTAACCTACAGTGTTATATTAGTTTCAGGTGTAAACAATAGCATGTTTTCACCAATTCTATACATTATTCAATGTTCATCAGTATAAGTGTACTACTCTTTAACCCCCTTCACCTCTTTCACCATCTGCTCCCTGCCCCACCTCCCCTCTGGCAACCGCTAGTTTGTTCTCTACAGTTAAGAGTCTGTTTTTGGTTCGTCTCTTTTCTTTTTTCTTTCCCTTTCCCTTGCCTTTTCCCTTTGTCTTCCCTTTTTTGTTTAGTTTCTTAAATTCCACATAGGAGGGCACCAGGCTGACTCAGTCAGTGGAGTGTGTGACTCTTTTTTTCGGGGTTGTGAGTTCAAACCCCATGTTGCATATAGAGATTACTAAAAGAAAAAATAAATTAAAAATTCTACATATGAATGAAACCATGTGGTATTTGTCTTTCTTTGGCTTATTTAGCTTAGCATTATATTCTCTGCATCCATTCATGTTGTTGCAGATGGCAAGATTTCATTCTTCTTTATGGCCGAGTAATATTCCATTCTCTCTCTCTCTCTCTCTCTCTCTCTCTCTACACATATATGTGTGTATATATATATATGTATATACGTGTGTGTGTGTGTGTGTGTGTGTATACACACACACACACACACACACACACACACACAAAAACACCATATCTTCTTTATCCACTCATCTATGGACGGACACTTGGGTTGCTTCCATATTTTGGCTATTGTAAATAATGTTGCAATAAACATAGAGGTGCATATATCTTTTTGAATTAGTGTTTTTGTATTCTTTGTGTAAATACCTAGTAGTGGAATTACTGTATCATGTGGTAATTTTGTTTTGAATTTTTTGAGGAACCTCTGTACTATCTTCCACAGTGGCTAAACCAGTTTGCATTCCCACTAATAGTGTATGAGGGTTCCTTTTTCTCCATGTCCTCACCAACCTGTTGTTTCTTGTGTTGTTGATTTTAGCCATTCTGGCAGATGTGAGATGATATCTCATTGTAGTTTTCATTTGCATTTCCCTGATGGTAAGTGATGATGAACATTGTTTCATGTGTCTGTTGGCCATCTGTATGTCTTCTTTGGAGAAATGTCTGTTCATGTCTTCTGCCCATTTTTTAATTGGATTATTTGTTTTTTGTGTGTTGAGTTTGTAGTTCTTTATGTATTTTGGATACTACCCCCATATTGGATATGTAATTTGCAAATATTTCCCCCATTCTGTAGGTTGCCTTTTAGTTTTTTTGGCTGTTTCCTTTCCTGTGTAGAAGCTGTTTTTTTTAATGTAGTCTCTGCAGTTTATTTTTGCTTTTATCTCCCTTGCCCCAGGAGACATATTTAGAAAAATGTTGCTATGGCCAGTGACATTACTGCTTGTGCTCTCTTCTAGGATTTTTATGGTTTCAGGTCTCACATTTAGGTCTTTAATCCATTTTGAGTTTCTTTTGTGTATGATGAAAGAAAGTGGTCCAGTTCTATTTTCCCAGCACCATTTGTTGAAGAGGTTGTCCTTTCCCCATTGTATATTCTTGCCTCCTTTGTCATACATTAATTGACCATATAAGTGTGGGTTTATTTCTGGGCTCTCTGTTCTGTTGATCACATTGATGTATGTGTCTCTCTTGTGCCAGTACCATACTGTTTTGATCACTACAGCTTTGTAATATAATTTGAAGTTGGGAATTGTGATGCCTCCATCTTTGCTTTTCTTTTTCAAGGTTGCTTTGGCTATCTGGGGTCTTTTGTAGTTCCATACAAATTTTAGGATTATTTGTTCTAGTTTTGTGAAAAATACTAAATAGAGATGGCATTAAATCTGTAGTTTGCTTTGGGTAGTATAGACATTTTAACAGTATTTGTTCTTCTAATACATGAGCATGAAATGTCTTTCTGTTTCTTTGTGTCATCTTCAATTTCTTTCATAAATGTTTTATAGTTTTCAGAGTACACGTCTTTCACTTCTTTGGTTAGCTTTATTCCTCAATGTCTTATTATTTTTGGTGCAATTATAAATGGGATTTTAAAAGTATTTTATTAATTTTTATTTTTAATTTATTTTACTTTATTATTATTATTAATTTTATTATTCTTTTTTTTTGAGAGAGAGAGAGAGAGAGAGAGAGAGAGAGAGAGACTGCAAGTGAGGGAGAGAGGCAGAGGGTGAGGGAGGGACAGAATGCCAAGCAGGCTCCATGCTTAGCAGTGGGGGGAGGGGGTGGGGAGCGCCCACCACGGGGCTTGATCTACAACTGTGAGATCATGACTTGAGCCAAAATCAAGAGTGAGATGCTTAGCTGACTAAGCCACCCACGTGCTTCTACATGGGATTGCTTTCTTAATATCACTTGGAGGAAAACATATTCATTCATAGTCAATATGAATGAATGTTGAAAAATCGAAATATTAGGATTATTACTGCACCAATATTATTATTACCAATAGGTAAATTTAATAAGATTGTTACTAGAGTCAATATAAAAATTATAAATAGCATCAAAAATATTGCAAACCCAGGAATAAGTCCAATGAAACATAGAAAACTGTTCCTTTATGATAAGTGCTTTTTGTGCTCTTCTTAAGAAATATCTTTGTGAGGGCACCTGGGTGGCTCAGTTGGTTACGCGTCCGACTGGCTCAGGTCATGATCTCCAGGTTCGTGAGTTCAAGCTCTGTGTGGGGCTCTGTGCTGATAGCTCAGAAGACAGCCTGTTTGTGATTCTGTTCTCCCTCTCTCCCTGCCCCTCCCCTCCAAAAATAAATAAACATTAAAAAAAAGAAGAAATATTTGTGTAAGTGAATGGGGGGGAATGGGTGAAATAGGTGAAGCAGATTAAGAGTACACTTATTGTGATTAGCACTGACTAATGTGTAGAATTGTTGAATCATTATATTGTACACCTAAAACTAACATGCTTCTGTGCTTGCTGTTTCTTGTCTGTTTCTGGTCTCCATTCTGGTCTCCATTCTGTTCCCCATTCTGTTCCATTGGTCTACTAAGACCGCACTATTTTATCCATTGTGCTTTACAAATTTTGATGTTCATCTTGTTCTTCCTTAAGAATGTGTTGGATATTCATAGCTCTTTGCATTTTCAAATACATTTTAACGTTTTTGATGGCTATGGACCGGCATCCCACTATCATTTAAATTTGCAATTCCATGATCGCCACTCTCTTTTCATGTGCTTTTTGACCATCTGGAAGCTTCTTTTGTTAACGGTTGGGGTTCAAAATTGTCTCACATTTTTCTACTGGGTTGTAGTTTTCTTTTTGATTCATAGGAGTTCTTTATATATTCTGAATACAAGATTTTTGTTGGTTATATGTGTTGCAAAGAATTTCTCCCACTCTCTGCTTTGCTATTTTATCTGCTTAAGGGAGCCACTTAACAAACAGAAACCCCTAATTTCAGTGTAACCAAGTATTGTGATTTCTTTGTATGCTTTTCACCTGTTCTTTGTGGAGAAAAGAACACTGATAAATCTAGGATTCTGCTTGAGTAAAATTAAAATTTAATTTTTTACTTATAACTGGTATTTGCTTTGCAGCTGTGGATTTCTTCAATCAGATTAATATGCTTTATGGAACAATCACAGATTTCTGTACAGAGGAAAGTTGTCCGGTGATGTCAGCTGGCCCAAAGTAAGACATGGTTCATAATCACTTCTCATTTTTACTTAAAAGTTCTTAGAAAGAAAGCTTCTGAACATATAATTTCTTTGTGTAGCATCTCCTTCACCAATGTAGCACGATTCGCCAATGACTGATACATTAAGTCCAGATTTCTTAGCCTGAGTTTTCTGGCTCTCCCTGTATAATCCTCCTTCCAAACTTTTCTCTCTTTGCTTATGAATCTTCTCTGGTCTATCCAAACTAGATTACTGGCAATGCCTTGCTGTTCCTTCCATTGCATACACTCTGAAAACGTGCTTACTCCATTATTCTCTTGGATATTTTTCTTCTCTTCCCATCTCCCTCTAATCATCTGGCAATATTTTTAAAAAATCCTACCCATCTGCAAGGCTCACATCAATTGCTTCTAAACCTTTTGATTTTTTCAGACTAGATCTGATCTATTTAACCTTTTTGTCTTTGTGATTATATTTCTTTCTTGCACTGTTTATACATGTCTTATTTAACCTATTAGATTCCTTCTTTGTTTAAATCCTTTTTGGTGCAAGAACAGTGCTTGCCACCTGGTTAGCACTTGATAAATGTCTGCTTGGATCGATAGATTCTTGAAACTGGCCTTTATTACTACTATGGCTGATGATAACAATGGCTGCTACCATTTATTTAGAGCTACCTAAAATGTCAAGCCTTTCATGCATTTTATCTTTTACTTCATACAACCCTATGAGGTAAGAAAAGAAATGGAGTCTGAGAAAGGTTAAGTAAGATGTCCTATTATCTAAAAGCAGGCAGAACCAGATTTAAAATACAGGTCTCTTTGAGTCTAGTGCCTGTACTCTTTTTTTTTTTTATTTTTATTTTTTTTTAACATTTTATTTATTTTTGGGAGATAGAGAGAGGGACAGAGCATGAGCAGGGGAGGTGCAGAATCCGAAGCAGGATCCAGGCTGTCAGCACAGAACCTGACGTGGGGCTTGAACTCATGAACTGTGAGATCATGACCGAAGCCAAAGTCAGATGCTTAATGGGCTGAGCCACCCAGCCACCCCTAGTGCCTGTACTCTCAATTGCTACATTGTGTCATTTTATAACTTTAAGAAAGATTAATTGGTACTTATGAGACATAAAGAGAGAAGTTTTATTTTTAATGCTGACTTTTTGTGAAGTATATGCTTCACACCAAAAACAAGACAACATTGCCCAAACTTACTAGTGCTTAGGGGTATTATCATTTTAAGTAGCGACCTTAGATTGCTCATCACTTATTTTAGAATATTTTTGGTAACTTTTATTTTATGTATTTATTTTTATAAATTTTTCTCATGTTTGTTTATTTTTGAGAGGGAGAGAGAGAGACCGAGACAGAGCACAAGCAGGGGAGGAGCAGACAGAGAGGGAGAGCATCTGAAGCAGACTTTGTGCTAACAGCGCTGAGCCTTATGCAGGGCTCAATCCCACCAACCCTGAGATCATGACCTGAGCCCAAATCAAGAGTCTGACACTTAACTGACTGAGCCACCCAGGCACCCCTAATTTTGGTAACTTTTAAACTACAGTGTCAGTCAGATTACTTACTACCCAAGAGATTCAGTTTTAGTACTTCATAGTCATACTTTTATTTTTTGACCAAATTCACATACTGAGCAGAGTATTACTTGGAGTTGTCTACCCTTATTCTTCAAATTAATTTCAAATGAGCTTAGCTATTTCCCAGAATCTTTTAAAGAAAAACTGACAGTTTGCCATCATCAAAGATGTTCAAAAGAATATGATTTAAATATCTCTTAAGGTAATTTTTTTTGAAAAGAACTTACTTTCAGACTATTTCAAACCTTGAAACTTCAATAATTTTAAGTGTACAGAAAAGGTGCCAGAACACAAGGAACTCCCATATCTTTTTTTTTTTAATTATTAATGTTTATTTTTGAGAGAGAGAGAGAGAGAGACAGTGCGCACGCGGGGGAGGGTCAGAGAGACACAGAGACAGAATCTGAAGCAGGCTCCAGGCTCTGAGCTGTCAGCAGAGCCCGACGTGGGGATTGAACTCATGAACCGTGAGATCATGACCTGAGCCAAAGTTGGATGCTTAACCGACTGAGCCACCCAGAGGCCCCTCCGTATCTTTTCCACACAGATTCCGTAATTATTAACATTTTACTACATTTGTTTCATCACCTACTCTGTATATGTACTCATTAACAATTTTTTCTGAACCTTTTGAGCAAGTTATAGACATTAATGCATCTTTACCCCTTCATATTCAACTGTGTATTTGCCAAAAACAAAGTTAGTCTTCTGTATAACCAATATACAAACCCTCCACATCACTTCCTCCAGTCCATAGACACTATTCACATTTCATTACTGCTCAGTTTTTCCTTTCTGGTCTAAGATTCTACCTAGGAATATGTATGGCATTTATTTGACTTATCTTTTCAGGTACCTTCAGTTTGGAACAGTTCCTCAGTCTTTTCCAGTATTTCTTTTCTTTATACAGAAAAGACTTAACATAGCAGGCCTGACTGTTACCCCTCAAAAGGCCTGTTTACACAATTGATCCTTGGATAGCATCTGAGAACCTGGGATTTTGAAAGGGTTCCCACCTCCCTATTTGTTAAAACAGGCTCACTGTGCCTAAACTGTTTGTACAAACAGTATGGCTTATGCTTTCCTTCTGGGAGTTTAGAATTTTAATATGTGCCATGCAGAGGGTGCATCTTGACCATTTCTCAATAAAAAATCTGGACAGTGAATCACTAATGAGCTTACCTGGTAGATCGTATTTAACATGTGTTATCATAGCTCAGTCTTGGGGGAATTAAGTGTGGCCCTTGTGAGTCCACTGGGAAAAGACTCTTGGAAACTTGTGCCTGGTTTCTTCTGGACTTTGCCCTGTTTGCTTTTTCTTTTTGTTGATTTTGGTTTGTGTTCTTTCACTGTAATAGATCATAGCTGTGAGTACAACTGTGTGCTGAGTTCTGTAAGTCCTCTTAGCAAATCGTCAAACATGGGGGTGATCTTGGGGACCCCTGATACAGTCTGTCTGATGTTTCCTTGTGACCACATTTAGGCTTTGCTATCTTGGCAGGACATCATAGAAATGATAAATTTCTTCTCAGTGGATCATATCAGAGGGCACACACAATATCAACTGTCCCATCACTGGTGATATTAACCCTGATTACTTTATCATCTGAGTGTTTGCAAGGTTTCTTTACCACAAATTTGTCATTTCCCCCTCTGAAATTGATCAGTATTTTATTGTGAGGTTTTCTGATATTATACCAATATCCTTGTTCCTGTGAACTAGGGAGAATTACTACCACTTAGAATACTGGTCTGATCACTTTTCCTGCAGAAACCTTATCTAAGTAAGCTGGTTAGGAGGAATGTATCTAATTTTTCAAAAGTAACAGGCACGGGATCTCTGTAAAGATACTGGAAAAACAAAAAATGATCTTCCTTGTCTCCTTTCCGTTCATCCATCCTTCTTCCCTCCCCTCCTTCTACCTTTCTTTCTACCTGCCATCACTCCCTCACTCCCTCCCTTCCCTTTTTTTTTTTTTTTTTTTTTTTTTTTTGAGAGTCTTATGCCCATTTTTAGTGCTGAGAAGATGCATTTGTCGTCATGCTTTGCCATCTTTACTAGAAGATGTTTGGGATTGTACCAAGGAGAGGCATTTGTTAGTAGCTTAGTACTGGCCCCTTGTAAAGTGGTATTGAGTGATGGCTCAGAGGATTTTGTCAGTTATTATTATTAACCAAGAAATGATGAGTATTTTGTAGTTTGCAGTTGATAAGTTTATACCATGATGATGGAAATAAATTTCAAAGAGAATGGTCTGTCAGAGGTGGAATAAAAAAATCAATGTGGGCAAAATAGAATTACAGGATGAAGTCATTCTTAAGTATAGACATGACAAAAGAATAAGAATGGATCGAGGAATCATAGTTATAAACTGTAGAAGTGTAAGCAATATATAGTTTTATTTTTCAAAAAGCTTTAGGATATTGAAAATAAGTGTGTTTAAAAACTTCAGAATATTGAAAATGATTTTTAGGTCAACTGTGTCCATTTTTTATTTTTGCATTTAAAAATGAATATGGAACACCTGATCACTAATAAAATGAAAAATATGATTGCAAGGAAAGGCAAAAATGTTAAGGTTTCTTAACATGTGGGAGAAAACATGGATGAGTCCTGTCTTTAAGTGAAGAGTAATGATGCTAAAAGTTATGTGGTTCATGATCTATGTCTCCTAAGAGGATCAAACAACAATAGGCTTAAGTGTCCCTCGGGACTTTAGTTTCATATTAGGAAGAATCTCTGGACTATGAAAGTGATTAAGCAGTGGAACAGGATGCCAAAAGTTGGAGAATCTCCTCTTGAAGACCTTCAAAGTAGACTTGATAATCTACCCTGTTGCCCAGGGTTGGCAGTAAGGTATGCTGTTAGAATGTTTATGCAGGTGTATTGTGTTTAGGTTTATTGTTCAGGTATAAGTAGCTATAATTAAATAGATTCCTTATTTATCCTATCTCAAGATAATTTTTATTATTTAAAATATTCTGTAGTATTTCCCATTATATTTTATTTCACCTCCTTCGTTAGACTCACTGACCTGTCATTTTGTTAGTCTAAATTGGAACAGGGTTAGAAAAACAAAACTGATTCAAAGAGATAAGCTAAATGGTAGCCAAGTAATCTTTTGGAAACTAAAAAACGAAATGATAGTTCAGTTTGGAGATTTTTATGCTTTGGAGTTGCAGCTGTGTGTTTATTCCTTATCTTAAAAATCAGGTTGTGGTGGGGCACCTGGGTGGCTCAGTCGGTTAGGCGGCCGACTTCGGCTCAGGTCATGATCTCGCAGTCCGTGAGTTCAAGCCCCGCGTCGGGCTCCGTGCTGACCGCTCAGAGCCTGGAGCCTGTTTCAGATTCTGTGTCTCCCTCTCTCTGACCCTCCCCCATTCATGTTCTGTCTCTCTCTGTCTCAAAAATAAATAAACGTTAAAAAAAAAAAATTAAAAAAAAAAAATCAGGTTGTGGTTGCATGTGGGTATGGGTTTGTGTATAACTCCATTACCAGTCTTGCCATACTGTCTTTACTTACTCATTTATGAGCCTATCTCCTCTACTAGTCTATTTTCCATAACAGTATGGAAAGTTTCTTTCATTTTAGTGTCCCTTGGTCAAGAACAGTATTCCTTGATACAGTATTTCTCACATGGTCGGTGTACATTAAATGTTGATTATACCAAACAATAGTGTTCTGTTAATACCCAAATCCTATAGGCATCTTTATTTGAGTTGCCATTTTTCTTTAAAGGCAAATTTGGCTTTTCAGCCAAAGGTACTCAAATACTGAATCATTCTCTTCTTCATGCATCTTCCATGCCGTTCTCTATCCTTAACCCCAAATTTAAAACTACAAGTAAAAATAATTGTACTGCATAAGAAATGTTTTTCAAAGAAAAAAAAAAAACCATAAAGATTAAAGATGGTTATCACAGAAGTGGAGACGTGGAAAGTTAGCTAGGTTTTCTACCATGGCAATGTATGATTCTAAAATACAAATGCTGTATATAAAGAAAAACTTAGAAAAGTTGAGATTGATGGATCAGCTTAGTTTGGATCATGCTAAATCCAAAATAGTCCAGTCAGTAGCAGTTTAAAAACTCTAAATTTAAATGCCAAATGCAAAAGATCTTTATTTGGAGGAGCAGATTGTTTAAAACATGTCCTGTATACATTCATGATATACATACATTTAACAATATAAAAATATATGCTTTTTGTATGGGTATACTCTGCTATTCTGTGTGCCTGTTATCTTTCCAATACAGATATGAGTATCACTGGGCAGATGGAACAAACATAAAGAAGCCTATTAAGTGCTCTGCGCCAAAGTATATTGATTACCTGATGACTTGGGTTCAGGACCAGTTGGATGATGAGACATTATTTCCATCAAAAATTGGTATGATTGTTTTGTATAATTGGGATCCATTATGCTTTATATAATTTTATATGTTTTTGGAACTTTCTGGCTCTCTTCCAGGAACCATACTAGCCTATCATATCTATCACAATATTTCTAATCTTACACATTTAAGTGCCTTATCTTTTCCATACCAAGTTTATCATGAACATTAAGTTAAACCTCCCTGTAATTTTAAACAGTGAGAATATCCGTATATCTTGGATAGTAACAAAATTTGGCCTGTGTTATAGAAAAAAGAGACTGGATGCTGAGTAGGCAGCCAATATCATCTGCCATAGTCATATCCATTTCTTGTTTAGGGAAGAAGTTTATGTAACTTATATTCAGTTTTACAGTGTATTTTCAGCAAAGAGGGAATTTGAATTTATGACCACAGTGTGAATCTTACAGACTATGAAATCAAGCTAGGTGAGAAGAAAACCAGAAGATTTTGAGGGGTTGGCCTGTTAGCAACTTGAATGACATTTGCTTTTTTTTTTTATTTGTTCTTCAGGGCTGACCTTTCAAGTGGAAATTGTTCATAGCCAGCTAGTTCATATGATTTTACCCTCTCAAACTTCTTACAACTTGTGTTTTCTGAAAAAATTAAGGATTTGTTCTATCAACGGACAGCTTTTTGACTACATTTTATATTTTTATTTATTTCTTAAAGTTCATTCATTTATTATTTCTGAGAGAGAGGGAGGGAGGGAGAGAGGAGGCACACAAGTAGGGGAGGGTAAAGAGAGAGGAAGACACAAAATCCAAAGTAGGCTCCAGGCTGTGAGCTGTCAGCACACAGCGGGACTCAAACCCCAGAACTGCGAGATTGTGACCTGAGCGGAAGCTGGACGCTCAACCGACTAAGCCACCCATGAGCCCCTATATTTTATACTTTCAGAGTTTGTGGTGGAGGAGACCACAATGTAAATAGTTGCTGTTATTATGGATTGTTTTAAACACATTTATTGAATGTTTAAACTACCTTGGAGCCTTTGTAATAAAAGGTCTATTTTTCAGGACTCCCTTACATACATCATAATCATTTTTGTTAAGTGCCTTCACCTTATCTTTTATCTCCCATAATATATTTTGTAACTTTTTATTTTGACTCAATTTCAGACTTTTAGAAAATTTGCAGTTGTGCAAAGAACAGGATCCTGTATATCCTTCTTCAGATTTTTTTTTTCTTCTTCCAGATTTTTTAGTTGTCAACTTCTTACCATATTTGTGTGTGCACTTTCTCTCTCCCTCCCTCCCACCCTCCCTCTCCTCCCCTCTTTTCCCTGTCTCTTCCCCCTAACTACATATTTTGTTTTTCCTGAACTGTTTGAGAGTAAGTTATGTGTATAATGCCTCTTTATCCAAATGTACTTCAGTGTGCATTTCCTTAGAAAATCACAGTATAACTATCAAAGTCAGGAATTTAACAATGATACAATACTGTTGTTTAACTTACAGGTCTTTTTCAGATTTTTCACATTTCCCCAATAATATCCTTTATAGCAAAAGAAAATCTTTGACATTTGCTTTCATTCACTTGTCATGTTTCTGTAGCTTTCTTTAATATGGACTATGTGTACTTCAGTCTTTTTGGTCCTTCATGACATTGATGTTTTCGAAGAGGATAAGCATACAGTTTTATAGTGTCCCTTCATTTTGGTTTGTCTTATGTTTCCTTGTGACCTATAATATTTTTAAGTGAGTGTCATGTGATGACACTGAATCCAGGAGTTTTAATATTTGCCTTATGTTTTGCCAAACTGGATCATTTTGCCAGTGTAACAAAGGACATGAAATTTTGTATTTTCCTAGTTTTATATTTGTTTAGTGCTGTAAAAGTGCTCTAATTCATAAAACAATAAGCCTCATTGAGAGGGACTGTAGCTAATTTCAGAATAAATGCACGTGGGTGGCTCAGTTGTTTAAGCATCCAACTTTGGCTCAGGTCATGATCTCGTAGTTTGTGAGTTCGAGCCCCATGTCAGGCTCTGTGCTGACAGCTCAGAGCCTGAAACCTGCTTTGGATTCTGTGTCTACCTCTCTCTCTGTCCCTACCCGACTTGTGCTCTGTCTCTCTCTGTCTCTGTCTCTGTCTGTCTCAAAAATAAACATTAAAAATAAATAAATACATGTAGACCTGGAGTAGTAATGAAATAATTTTCCATAGAAAAAATATAAAAAAGTGTTGCAAGCATTTTATTTATTTAAAAAAAAATTTTTTTTAAGTTTATTTATTATTCTTGAGAGATAGAGACAGAGCATGATCAGGGGAGGGGCAGAGAGAGGAGGAGACACAGAATCTGAAGCAGGCTCTAGGCTCTGAGCTGTCAGCACAGAGCCGGATGTGGGGCTTGAGCTCACGAACCGTGAGATCATGACCTGAGCTGAAGCTGGACACTTAACTGACTGAGCCACCCAGGCGCCCCAACAAGCATTTTAAGTAAAACTGAACATGGTTAATACATTGTATTCAGCACATATTTGTATTGAGACTTGATGTTAAGAAATCTAAGGATATAAGTGTGAGTTTTAGCTTCATTACCATCTTAGGCATAAATTTATTTCATTTTAGTAAACTGGTAAGCACACAAGAAGCATTAAGGGGTGATGCTGAAGTCTAGTTCTTATTCCATGGAAATTTTAAAGTTTAATTTCATTCATGATATGTTGAGAACTTGTGAAAAGTACAGTGGGTATTACTAAGTAAAATAATTCACAAATATTTCTTTAAAGGGTTGTCTTGTTAATTTATGTTGCCATTTGTTGACAAACTCATATTGCTTTGTTCTTGTCTCTTGTTAATAAGGGGGTTGTTTATCTATTTATTAGGTGTCCCATTCCCGAAGAATTTCATGTCTGTGGCAAAAACTATACTCAAACGCCTCTTTAGGGTTTATGCTCACATTTATCATCAGCATTTCGATCCTGTAATCCAACTTCAGGAGGAAGCACATCTCAATACTTCTTTCAAGCACTTTATTTTTTTTGTCCAGGTAAGTTGGATTCGGAGACCTTTAGAGTTCTGATTTTCTTTTCTTTCTTCCTTTTTTTTAAATGTTTATTTATTTTAGAGTGAGAGAGAGTGAGAGAGTGTGAGTGGGGGAGGGGCAGAGAGAGAGGGAGACACAGAATCCAAAGCAGGCTCCAGGCTCTGAGCTGTCAGCACAGAGCATGACTTGGGGCTTGAACTCACAAACTGTCAGGTATGACCTGAGCTGAAGTTGGGCAGATAACCAACTGAGCCACCCAGGCACCCCAGGAAGCTTTTTTTGCTCAGTAAAACGCATTATGCGTAGAATTCAAAGGTGAATACTGCATCCATACTAAAGGTATCCTTTAGGATAAAATTTGCCATATCTCTCTAGTCTTTATGCTCTTCTCTACTTGCCATGATAAGGCCTTTTGTTTCTAAATTCCACTCATCTCCAGGTTGGTGGCATGCAAGTCTAAAATGGATCTCAGAGGTCTTGCCTTGACATTGCTTCAGTTAACAGGCCATAATGGAGCGGCTGAATTAGGAACCTGGCTAATTGGCAGGCCTCCAGATGAACTTGGCCCCTTTACCATTTTAGCATTCCTCCTAATCCTCTTAACCCTCAATTCTCAATTCCTGTCTACCTTGGATCTTTTTCTTTTTTTCTTTCTTTCTTTCTTTCTTTCTTTCTTTCTTTCTTTCTTTCTTCCTTCCTTCCTTCCTTCCTTCCTTCCTTCCTTCCTTCCTTCCTTCCTTCCTTCCTTCCTTCCTTCCTTTCTTCCCTTTCTTTCTTCATATTCTGGCCTGGAAATGGGCTTTGTATATAACACCTTTTTCCTCCTCCTTTTTAAACCCACATGCTGAATAATTTTTAAGTTAGGTACTATTCATTATGTCCAAAAGAGGAAAAAATTGCCCCAAAGAGTATTGCTATTCCAGAGGTCCATTGGTCTTTTCTCTGACTCTGGTTGACCTCCTCCTTCTCACTTTAGTTCCCAGGGGTGTAGACTAAGAGGAGTCCGATATTCTCATCCTGCTATAATAACTAGACAGCAAATAGGCAGGACTGAAAAAGAGGTGGAAATGGTTAAGCTGATGAGCTTCTTTTTGGTTGAGGTTGACAGGGTAGATAGTAGGCAGAAGTCCAAGTCTTAAATTGTGTTAGTTTTGTTTATCTGTGGGCATATACTCACAAATGCCCTCCCCTCATCCCATCTCTACTAAAGAAAAATGTGTCTATTTTCCCTCTCTACATACCCCTCACACTAAAAGCACACATTTCATGTCTCAATTTCACCCATATAAACGCATTTTAGATTATAACCTGCCAAAACTGTTGCTCAGAGGAATTACTTTACCATGGTATCCTATCTACAGACACCTATAGAAAAAAAGAAAATCTTATCCCAAAGTTTGCTTCTGTGCTTTGGTTTAGACAGAAGAGGATTGCTAATGTTCAGGTTTTAGTGATTTAGGAGAGGATATTCTCCCTCCAGAAGGGTTACTTTTATCCTACTGTATGATCTTATCTGAAAATGCAATGTTATCTCTCAGCTCCTAGCAAATATTGATACCTAGCATTAAGCACATCTGAGCCTATTGAAATGTATTTTAAGACACTGTGACCTTCTTAAAGGTAGTTCCATTAGTATACAGTCACCCCTTGTTGGTGTAAGAGGGACCTCTGCCCTAGACCTCACTGTTTAGAGAATCCTGTTCTGGTCATTCTCCAGCTGTACTCTCACAGAGTAAGGGACCCACAGGGCAAAGAACATACCTCCCAGATCCCTCTGGTTTGTGCTCTGGTACCTGATCTCAATTTTCTTTCCACATGGTCCCAGTTATATTTCCAAGTTCTGCATGGATCTTTTCCTTGGGTCCATTCTTTAAAGGGATGATCATATCTCTGATACGTGTACCTCTAGATCTTAGGGGTAGCGAGATGGCAGCAGTTTGTGAAGGTGTGTGACCATGGCCTACATAAACCAGCCAGGGTGTCCACACTCCTGCAAGTGAGGCTCCTTAAAGTTCCGGGTAGAGCTGGGTGTTGGAAGATCAGGGAGGTTTGCTGAGGGTCAGGGATAGGCTCTCTTCATGTTACTCCTTTCCAGTGCAGAATCCTGAGCAATCTTGAGAATTCTAAATTTGAATCTGCTTTCCTGGTCACTTTGAAGGTATATTTGTTAAGGTAGGAGGATAGAACATGTTTTATTTAACAATGTTTTAGCTTAATGTAAAATTTAATAGTCATATGCTATATATCCATTTGTGTTCTTAGTCCAGATCCCACAAATCTTAGGGGTAGGCTTGCTCTTAAATGCTTCTAATTCTTTCCCCCGGTACTTACTATAATGGTTGACATGATCATCTCAGTAAGTGAATGAAATTGGGAGCTCAGAATGCCCCACCATGGCAGAATATGAGATCAGAAGTATAGACAGCCTATATTTATTTAGCCTTACGGTGTTATAGTTGTGGGGAAATCTGTTCAACATTGAAGCTCACAACGACAGGAGTGGAATTCATAAAGAAGCAAAAATTAAATCCAGGCTTTCTAATTTGTTACAGGATTTTGTTTATCATTTGTGGACTCTGTGTTTCTTATGTTACTTTCATGCTACATCTCATGATAGCTTGCTGATGTTTAACTCTTCTACTCTTCATGTTCATGTAATGTTGAAATTTGCCTGAGATGCTAGAGTTTTTGGTCCCCACTTGTTTGACGATATCTAAATGGTTATTCCCTTTTAACAGGAAGCAGCACTCTCATTTATTGAGTATTCACTTTATGCCAGGAATTACATGAAGTGGTTAGCACACAGTATCACATTTAGTCCCTACAGTAATTTTACAAGGTAGGGGGATTTACCCTACTATTACTACAGATGTGTACAATATCAGAAGTGCGTAAGTGATTTGCCTAAATCAAGACACAGAGTGGGGGAATAGGAATACATTTTTTTGAAAAAATGATAAGACCCTTATTTACTTTGAAAGCTAATGTCCAACAAATGTTAATGGAAATCTGCTTTGGGATGAGATATAAATAATACATTTTTACTATTTTTTCCTGCCTTTATCGTGTGTAGGAATTCAACCTTATTGATAGAAGAGAACTTGCACCACTCCAAGAACTGATTGAAAAACTCACCTCAAAGGACAGATAAAAGGACGCAGAGCTGTGCAAATTGTTCCTCAAATGAAGTGTGTGGAGTTTATTTGGATTTGGTTGTGTTTTATTTTTATCTCGGTCATTTTTGTCATAGGTTTAGGGGGCTTGTTTGGGTTTCTTTTTCTTTATTCTGAGTAAGTGAAACCATATTCAATTGCTAGAGGAAGCCAAGAACCATTCTCTGTAAATTTGATAGGGGTAAGTTTTGTCTTAGTGGCATATGGTGGTTTTTTTTGTTTGTTTTTTTTACTTGGTTTGCTTACTTGCAGAATTTTTGATAATACTGTGTGCTGAAAGAAAACGCTTGCTGATTGGACTGATGACAGTTGGGGGTTCTGTGTTGTGTAAATTGTGGCCAATTTCTGAAGTCCCCAAAAGACTTATGTTTTTAAGTGCCTTGGTAGGCTCACTTCTGAGGTGCAAAGCACAGACATAGAACTGAACAGGGCTTGAACAATATTAGGATTACTACCCAGGGCACTTACTGATGCATGTTTTAAAATGTCTATGATAAAAGCCATAGTTTACCAAAATTGGTGATCTCCAGCTTTTACTACATTAAAGAAACACAATTTGTAAAGGTGTGCATGTAGAACGTACAAAATTAGTATTTATTAATTATTTTTGATATTGATGGTAATTCTGTTCAACAAATGTTTAAAGTTCTACAAGCAGGTCTTTCTTCCATCTCTTGATATCTGTGATATTGAAACTAAAGGATGTTGAAGTGTAATACCTATTGCATTTTAGCTTCTTTCTACATGTTAACTGCACTCTAGGTGTAAAAATTCAGGTTTTACATAGGTTTGCCATCTTCAGAGGTGATGCTGAACTGTGAGGTTTCTTAGCAATTGCCAAATGAGCCATAAGTCTAGAGAATTCCCTTCTACTTTGAAGAGGAGGGGATGGATAAGAGTGTGTGTTTGGTTGGGAGGGTTTGTTTGTATGGGGAGCTATAGATGGAATTGTATGATGAGTCAAGTTCAGAAAGTCTTGTCTTAAAATCCTTGAGTAGAGTGGCATGAAGTTTTTAACCAATTTCTTGTAAACAAAGTCTTAGAGACTTCCTTTTAGGAATCAACTTCCATGAGAAGTTAAACATAAATTATTAATTTTAGGTGTAGACATTAAACATGGAATTTAAGGACTGTTTGGGGGAAATTGATCACTCTCCAGCATTTCCATTCAGTGAATGGAGCTGGTGTTTGCCTGTCATTTTAAAATGATACAGTACCCTTCTCTGCTTATGATAGGCCCAATTTGAAGCATTCTGACTTCTGATTTTTCTACTGTGAAAGGAAATCTTTTTCTTTGCAGTGATATCAAACAATGTAAGTGCTAATTTAGTAGTTATTAACTTTTACATTTTATTTGTCATGGCTTTCTAGTGAATTATTCCCATAAGTAAAAAGTTCAGAAAGTTAATTTTTAAAATAATTTTAACATTTTTCACTTCAATTTTAGTCTTGAGAAGTATCTTTTTCAGACTTCCTTTTGATTTTGTCATTTCTGGTAAGATCTGTTTCCTTCAGTTACAAATATATATTCTTCCTTTAGTGTGAAATATATACCTTTTTTCCTTGTGGAATAGAAATCTTGCTTTGAAATTATATAGACTAAAAATGGTCAGTAGGCGAGAATCTAAAATTAAATAAATCAGTCTGTCTTTGCCATTAACAGGGAGAGCAGTGATATAATTTAATGCCATTACAGTTATGATGACTAGGAACTGCCTTTTTCTCCATTTCATTTCTAACAATCATTCTCCAAGTACCAACAGTAGAAGTAATGGGAGAGCCTGGCAAGTATGTTGGACGTTCATTGGTAATGGTTATTGATAAACTGCAGTGAGAAGTAACTGATGTCCTTAAAACAAATATTTTATTACCTAGGTAGGTAATACCAATCCCTGTAGGTTGATTCAGAAATAAAATTTGGCATCAAGTGACATGGGGTCCTATTTATTGATGAAAATGAAGCATGATTATTCCAGTAGTCTTCCATACTGCGTTGGACTTTGTATCATCCTAGTAACAAAGGGGTTGCAAATAGCCACGTGTAGAAAATACTGAAAAATCGTTCTTGCTCTTTCAAGCCTTACACAGTAGTACACTGTAAAAATGGAAGGATGTTTCTATAAAATAATGTTTAGTACTAGGCCCTACTTTCCTACTGTGTGTAGATAGGAGTTTGTTGTCACTGTGTCAGAATCTCAGGTGCCTGCTTCTGAGTATTCCTTTAAACAGAGGTATTATTAGGAAGTAAGGAGGTAATGTACGCATGGATATGGTAACAAAGTAGAGAAGTTCTCCCAGGGAGAGGCCTGGCATTGTACATGGGGTTACATGGCCACAGGTAAGGAAACACCCACCAGAGCATGTGAGAAATAACCAGTTTAACAAAACTTGCTTTGATTTGATTCGTTTCCATGAGCGTTAATAAGATGCCCTTTATAAAATAAGGATCAAATCCTGGTTTTGTAGCACTTTGCTTACGAATGTGTATTGGATTCTTCCCAGATCTCTTAATTTAGTTTATAAATAACCAAGATAATGATTTCCCCCCTGCTCTTTATAGAGAGATTTAAAGCAGAAGCTGGTTTTCTCATCCACTAATTAAAGCATAAAATATCAAGTAATAAGTTAACATAGTATTATTATCACAATGCTTTGGTTAAGTGTTGAAATGAAGCAAGTTTTAGGAGTTATTTTAAATGATGGAAAATTAATAATCCAAGAGTGAAAATCTTTCGGTAAGCAGTAGATGGTGCTACTGGCTCTCATTTGCTGACTTGATTGTTCTGTTTCCCATAAAAACCATGCCATTAGACTTCATTAAAAGAGTAAGCATGTGTTAGTTGGCTGGTAGAGGCTTTGGAGGTCAGTTTACTTTACATCGAAAGATTTTACATTGCTCTTTCTGCTTGTGTTATTTGTAAATGGTAAAGGGTGAGCATAAAATGTATTGGCTGGGAGAAGACAGGTTTAGTGTATAATATATCTCAGATTAAGTTACTGCCTGGCTTATCAGGAAAGATAAAACACTACAATCTCTTATCTTCAGGAAATACAGATGATGTGGATATTTATATTTTACATGTAATCACCAGACTCCATTTTATGTATTAGCATTTTCCTTGCTTATGGGAAAATAGCAAAATGACATTTCTTTTATACCTTTGTGTACACCCTCTCTGAGAGAGGTTTTGATAACCACTGAAATGGTGAAATGTGAGATACAATTATTAAGTTAGTTGTAGGACTTTCTTTTCAAATAAGTATGTCATACCTTAAACATCCAAATGAGAGTTGATCTTCAGAGTGGTTCCTGTGGGAGCATTATTCTTTCTAGCTATGCTTTGAGGGTGTAATGTTTTTGGAGCATTTTCAGAGATGCCTTGAGAATTGGTTTATGACTATGCAAGAAAATCTATTTCATCATTTTAGTTGCACCGAAGACTTTTTTGGCAGCTTAGTAAGACCTAGCTCATTCACCAAACTTAACTCTACTTTGCTTTTTTCTTAGAACTAAACCATTAGAGAAGTTCAAAAGACTGCCATAGGCTCTGAATTTGCAGAAGAGAATGTTTTGAGCATTGGTAGCACCATTTAATAAAGGAATAGTTTCCTGATGTCTCTACTTTGAAGTACACAGTGTCATTTGGATGTATAGGTTTTATTTAATTTTTACAAATTTAGTTTAATTACCTTATTGTTAAATATAATAATTAAAAAATCAAGGTCTGTCTCTTGTTTTCTACTTTTGTTCCTTTCCCTGATAGCTTCTGAGTTTTATCTCAACTACTATAAGATAATTTTGATTGAAGGGACAGTATGAAAAAATGGATCCAATATTTAATTTAGAAGTAGCTTAAGATAACAATAGCCTTTACCTTTGTCCTTTTTTTTAAACATTATTTTCACTCAAATGAAAAGACTGCAGATCATTGTACAAAGAAATTGGAATAAATTTTATATAATAATTATGCTGAATGTTAAACCTGTGTATCACAGATAAAATATTTAAAATTGTATAATCATTTCATATATCATTTATAACTTTAAAATTTTTGAATGTCTTTTTAAAAGATATGGGACCATAAGTATATTTGTAACTTGAAAATGTGACTGCATACCAAGGGGAAAAGTTATTTTGAAACTTTTCTGAAATATTAAAGAATATACCAATTTTTAGACAAGCTATTCTAGATCCACTCCTAAAATAATTTAAATAGTAGAGTTTTGTCATAATGTTAAGATTCACCCACAGCAATTACTGTTTTTCAGTTTAATGGTGTATGATATTACTAGAGGTAAAGATATCTTAAGATTTATTGGAAAAATTTAATTTTAAGGTATAGTAACAGTTCTGACTACAAACAATTTAAACTTTTAAGATGTTCCTAACAAGTTAATCATAGAGAATAATTTATTGTAAAGGTATAATACTATGTTCCATGTCTGCCACTTATAGCTGAACAAAACCTAAATTTTGACAAAAGACAGGAAATGCATATTAAAATATTGAATAATCTCAGTTTTGCAAGTATGATGCCAGTTCTTTTCCTGTGTGTAATGCTATACAATAGAGCATTTTGGGTTACAGTTCTCAAAGATAGATAATGAAAGCACTGGCCTGTTTTTAGCTCTGTTGGCTTGTCATCTCCTTCTCCTTAAATTACTTCCTTACGCTGTTGACTTCCCACCTCTCAGCCTCCATTGCACTAGGAGAACAAAACAGATGGGTTGATTGTGCAGGTCCTTGTTGTTAGTGGTTCTGAAGCACTTTCTGTAATCCACTGACAGGAGTGTTGGCAGGTGCAACTTACATAAGCATTTTTGGTTTGTTCTGGTTGACAGCTTTCTTGAAGTTATGTCACTGAAGCTGAGATTATTAGTAATTTAAAATTTTTGTTAATATTTAATTTTTCTTCTGTGTATTAAATTTTTATGTGTTGGTGTTTCTTACAGGTTTGTACATATTTTCATTTTCTGAGATAATAGATTAGTGCATTTCCATATTAAGAACACATTTCTCCTTAAATTGTTCTGCAGAAATAACTATTTTTAGGGGAAATAGTTTTTTACAGTCACTAAATTGTATGTGTTATTTTTGTACATGCATAACTAAGGTGGTAAGGGCCCTAATCCTGTAGGGAATGCTTAACTTTTGTTCTATTTGAATTTTTCCATACGTTATTACTTAAAATTATCAAGGAACAGTGTCATGAAATCTAGGTTGAGAGAGAGTACAATAAACATGACAACTCTTAAAGTTTGAGTAGAGATAATTTCTGATGACAAAAGCATAATCCTGCCAGTGCCATATAATGGAAGCCTATTCACATTGTGTAATCGCAGAGAATGTGCAAGACAACAGATCCTGCTCTCATGGAAACACACAATTCTCTTTATTTTTAAGTAGTTGGATGGGGGAAAATGGTCTAAAATATGAAAGGAAACATGAATGCTATATTGAAAAGTGTGCCAAGATTACTCAAATTCTAGTTATTACAGATCAAAGTTTAACTGCTTCGTCATTTTACTTTAAAAGGGATACTGGGGGCGCCTGGGTGGCTCAGTCGGTTGAGCGTCCGACTTCGGCTCAG